TGTTTGAAGTTTTATAATAAAGATACCGCATGCAGTGTAATCGCACAATCCTTGCACCTGAGGAACCTATTTCATAGTTAATTCTTTCAGCTTGTGTGCTTTCTTCTGTCCTGGGCGGTTCTACAAAACTGACAATCCCTCCAGCTGCCTCTTCTCTCCCTCCTCTTACTCCATCCCTCTTCCTCCTCCCCGGGGAAAAAGAAGTGGAGTGTAAATTACCTTTTATTCTAGAAATTCAATTTGCTGTAAGAGTCTGCCCTCATAATGTTTCCACACATACTGTGTACCCTTGGGCTTACTTCCTAGAGCAGAGCAGAACAAAACACAAAACACAAAACACAATTCTTTTAAACCGCCGATCTTCCTTGGATAGGATTTACTATTTTAAGGTGTACTCATATTTGCAATCTGTAGGGTACAATCTTTCGCAGGAATGGGCCAGTAACAGAGGGTGTGTAAGAAATACATTGCTGCCTCATGTGGCCCATGGCACATGTTCTCCAAATTGTAAAGCAAAGACAGTGACCAGAGGAAAAGGTTCATCTGCTGCCTAGGTCCCAGCAGCAGGATTGCAGCCAGGCGCAGCGGTACAGCTCCTGCCTTTCAGGTGCCTTGCCACCTTCGGGCAACCAGGCTTTTTTTTGTGTATGCAAACACTCAGGCGCTCTGGAAGGAGATTCACCAAAATTCAGGACAAAGCCGAAGGGTGGTGGGCGGGAGGACAGCACCAGCTACCTCCCCTGCAGATTCACAGCGTGAGCCCTCTAGATCAGACCTTGCTCAGCTGAAGCACAAGCGGTGGGAATGATTTCTGCAGCCGTGCAGCGCCGTCCTGCAGCCCTTGTATGAGTGCTTTGGGACAGGTGCTGGAGCCCATTTGCCCAAGCTGGCAAGAGCACGGCCTTTCCCTGGCACTGCTGAGCATCTCTGCTCGGGGATATGTCCCTCTTTTCAGAGGTTTCATTGATTGCTGTTGTGTACTTGTGAGGCAGTGACCCAGGGCTTCCCCACAGGGGCTGTAACCCTGCGGCATGAGGGTAGCATAAACATGTAGAGCCTTCTTTGGAAATTCTTTCACTTCTCTAATTCGCACTAGAGTCTAAACGGCATCTTCTGCCTGCTGCTGCCTCAGCACCACTTGCAAACCCTTCCTGCAGGGAGGTGGGAGATACTTTCTGCAGCTCAAAGGATTTCCTGCCAGAGGCAGCTGCCTTCCTCCACTACAGCAGCAACACCGTGAGCCCCGAGCTGGACCTAACCTCAGCTTCTTCTCGCAGCCCAACTGCTTTGAGATGCTACTGCTGCCTTCCTGTGCAAAAGGGGAAGGTGAGACCCACATCCGGAGGCTGCAAGGCTGGCAGGGCCTGCCCTGGCTCACTGCAGGTGGCCAGGAGCATCCCTGCAGGTCTCAGAGCTGCTCTCCTTTCTGAAGGGACAAGCCTGGGAGCAGTCTGCTGCCCTGCCAGTGAGGGCACTGAGAGCACAGGAGAGCAGGAGGCATCTTGCTGTATCTGTGCAAGCTGCTGGGCAGCTTGAGAGTAACACCAAATTTTAGGGTCATCCTAAGAGCTGGAAGCACAAGAAGCACCCAGCTGCTAAGGCCAGAATGTCCTGCATAGATGCCCATGCCTGTTCACCTGCTTGTGTAAAAAGTACCCACCAGTACAACAAAAAGTTTTTATATTGGTCCTGCTCATATCTGCTACTTAGCTTTATATCCTGATCTTGATTTTTCTTTTTGCTGACATGATGCAGGTTGAAGAAGATTCAGAATGATGTTGGTGTATTAAACAGTCAGATATTCTCTTGTTCTGGCTTCAGCATGTCATCTTAAAACACAGACCAGAGTAATTGTTACCTGCATTCAAGCTTAAACCTAAAATACGTACTTGTTTTCTGTTGGTGTTATTTGCACCAGAGGGTCCCATCTACAGAGGGTCTCTGTTAGAAATATGGAGTCTTTGTCTGATGCCACCCACAATGCTCTGCGTGTTTGGATGGAAAGGCCTTGACAGGCTGGAGCGTTGCACAAATGTCACTTGCCACACTGTGCAAACCTGTGCAGCACTTGTAGAGAGCAAAAGGGTATGTTTAAGGACCCATGCTGTTAAACAACACCAGCAGAAAGTGGGATATATGACGATGTGCTAGTTTACAGTGTTGCTAGGTCCCTCAGGAAATAGTGTGAAGTGGGACCTGGGCGATGCTGATTTAATAACTGATTTAACACTGATTTAGTATGCCAGTTATGAAGCACCATGGAAATTACTACCTGTGCCAGGAGAGGATCCAGAAAAGATCACAACAGAAAAAAAATAAACATGACTTTAGGTATTCTGTCCTAGGATGTAAAAAAAGTTTGGGAAATTGAAAGAGAACAATATCCTTAGTCTGAATATGTCAATTTTAACTGTAGTATGTGGGCTGGTGTGCATTTTCGGTTAGTATTTGTACCTCAAAGGCAGGTAGTAATACTGGGCAAAGCAAAGCTGCTGCTGTACCACACCGGTTTTGACACACGGCTTCTGAGCAGTGTGCTTCTGTGCGTCTCAAGTGAACTCAAACACAATTTGTTTAAAAACGTACATGTCTGTAGGTTCTCTTGACTTCATGACTAAAGCTGTGCTGAAGCAATATCCTGTTATCCATTTCTAAGTTAACAGCAGCAGACAACTATGGACCAGCACCCAGCAAATAAGCAACACACACTAACAGGCATGTATCAAGTACCACAAGCAAACAGGAATTTGGCCCCTTAGGCAGTTCTGTACCTCTCATCGCCTAAATAGAGATGACAAACACAAGGAACAAGCAGCCCCAGCAGCACCGAGACTGCTGGGGAGCTGTGAAATGCCCAGGCATCTCCCAATGCAGCAGGGAGAGAGGGTCACAAGCCACCCCGCACAGTAGCTGAGACTGAGGGTGACACCTGGGACGCTCATGCCACAGACACTGTGCTTGGGGGAGGTGTTTCAGCGAGCCTGAGCAAGAGAGGAGCAGGCTGCCTGCAGCATTTGCACAGAGCCTGTGGCAGGACATCCTCTGGTGCCTGCACTGGCTGGCACAGATGCAGCAGCACAAAGCACTCGTGGAACCACCACTACTCCCTGGACCCACGGCATGGGTGGCTTCACAAGCCTTCCTGGGGTCAGGCTTTGTCCCCTGCTGGAGATGCCAAAGGGTACCTCTGCTTGCAGCTCACCAAGCTCCACCCAGGCTCTTCCTATAGGAAAGCACTGGCCAGAGGAGACGAGACATCAACAGGCATAAGTGACAGCAGTGGCACAGGCTGCTAGCACCTTGTGTGCAGGGGAGAGCCAAGGCCAAACACCCCTGTCAGGGAGACCTTGGCTGTGCCCATCACGGCAGCAGAAATCCCTGTCTGAGGGGAGCCCAGGAACAAGGCAAATCGGCCACCAGCCCTGGCAGGAAGGCAGCCAGTGCCCTCCCATTTGGAGGAGTGGTGTCAGAGGGACAGGAGGAGCAGCAGGAAGGTGTCCAGGTGCCTGCCTGAAAATGGCAGGTGCCATTTTCTTCCCTACTCACCCCCCTTCCTTCGTGAGTTTTGCAAGGACAGGTCAAGCCCTCACTCCCATTCCTTCCCTGAGCACAACAGCGCTGGCT